AGTGAGAGCAGGACCAGGTCTTATCCACTGCATTCACATGAACAGGAATACATGTTTTCTGTTTGTTTTTCTTTCAAGCAAATCCAAAGATAGTTTGCTGTAGGAAAGCCACAAAGAACTGCAAAAGAGGTACCAAACAACAGGGTGGACATGTTGTCTGTCTGAGAAGAGCTGCACAGAAATGAAAGGGGACTGGTTGTTATGATGTTGCCAAGCAACAACAAGTTAATGAGGTGGAGGAATGTCGAGGATGGATCAGCCGAGCGGTTCTAAGGTCTCTCTCAGAGACAGTCAGATTTTCACTAAGAGCCTGCTCAACATTATTTCGCAATTACTTAAACTCTAAACCCTGTTGTCTGAACCACATGCTCAGCAGCCTGAACCCCTTTATTGAATCAGTCACTCTTTAAGTTAAACCATAAGCTCTTTTCTCCTGGTTAGACACAACTTGCAAACACATTTTCTGTGCACTGTGATGCACTCGTGTTGCATAATGGTAAGCACAGGTAGCAAAAGTCAAACACAATTGAAGCACAGGTGTCAGTGCATGAGCATGATTTTGAATAGAGGGCTTGTTTTCAAAACTCTACACACAATTAGCACAACCATACAGACAATTAGCAGAACATCTCACATCCTTTGCAAAATGAAACACTCTTGTTAAATTATACACTACTTTATAAAAGTAAACTCTGTAATACAGTAAAATACAAGATTGTGTAGTTTAGCATGAATCTAATACACCGTAAATTTAGGTTACATGCAGTGTGCAGTGAGTAACATCACAGTGCTAACGTGAACAATACATACGTACCTCCACATATGCATGCTGCAGCTGTTTGACCCTCTCCAAATTCCCCTCAAAAGGCACTTGATACAGTTGTTTTATTTGAAGTTGATTTTTTTTCAGGATGCATGCTCATGTTAGGAGAGAGACCTGATAAACATTATTGAAAATGCCATCATCACTAATGATGTTGACTTGAATTTCTCTGAGCCTTATTGCATTATTGGCCAGAACCATGTTTATAATTGCTCTTTCTTGTTCTGCTGTGAAAATAGGCCCCCTTCCTCCTTGTTGCTCTCGCCCCTAAATCCAATGTGGAAAGAAATACATGTAAACTGTTGTAAAATCTCACAGGAACCAGTATGAACAGTACTGATATGGTACATACTAAGTAGTTGATTACTTTCGTAGAAAGGTTTGTTTTTACCTGTTTTCTTGTTGGAATGTCCTGATCACAGATGCCACTGTATATCTGCTAAGATTTGGCTGAACTCTCAGTCCAGCCTCCCTCAGTGTCAGTCTGTGGTTCACCACATGGTCAACTAATGTTGCCCTAATTTCATTTGATAAATTTGGTCCTCTCCTTCTTACAGCATGTATTCCTGCTTCAGGTCTTCCTCTTCCTCTTCCTCTTCTTCTACCTCTCCCTCCACTTCCACCTTAGCCTCGACCTTTGGCCTTGCCTCTGCCTTCACCTCTTTCTCTACCTCTTTCTCCTTCTCTTTGCATTCCTCCTCTCATTCTCACTCTTTGCTCACTTATTCGTTTCATCGTGGTTGAAGACAGGTGAACTTACCTGCTGCCTTTTTCTAGTGCTTGAACCTGATTGGCATGTCTACAATTAAGCAATCAGGTGTTGGTGAGTGTTGTGTTTAACCAATTGGCTAATGAGTGTGGTCATTTGAAAGCCAGTGCTTTGGAATTTGCAAGGTAGTGACATCATGATATGCATCTGTGTCTGAGTGTGTTTAGTGTTTTGCAATTCACTGTGTGCAGTGGTTTGCAAATAGTGTAACGCTAACATTGTGCTTATAGTTGTGCTAATCTGGTCCGGTGTTTTGCTCCTTGAGTGTAAGGTTTTGATAATTGTCCTGGGGCGGGATCCAGCATGAAGACATGATGCTGTGTCTGAGTGATTGTAGATACTGTAAACACTCGAATTTGATATTGTGGTTTACACTGTAGAGTGATTGTCATTTATATTATTTTTTTCTTTATTCTTACTGTATACAGGTGCTAAATTCACAGAGGATTTTTTAAAATTAATTTAACCTACTATGAACATAAAATATTATTTCTACAGCTTCATGTCCTGGACATTATGTTTTCCATTTTTTATGCGCAGTTGATCAATGTTGTATGATCTGACAACATTGTTTGGGTATGAGCACAGATTCAAGTGTTGTGAGGCTTGTGTTTGGTTTTGCAGGAAGAGTCAGAGGTTAGGTGAATGTAGATTAACAATTGGGTTTTGTGCTTATAGTGTTGAGAAAAGCATGGTGGGTGTCAAGAAATGTGTTTGAGCAGTTGAGAAAAAAACTGCAATATGTCCTGGTGGTCTTTTATCGAGAAGAAAATCTTACAAACAAGCAAAATAGTTATGTATTTATTCTTGGGATGTTTTAAAAATGTATTAATTTCATCAAGGGTACACATAGGGTCCCAGCCACAGCACTGGCCACCAAACATCTATGGCTGGGACCCTATATGTACCCTTGATGAAGTTAGGTGCTGTTCTGAGCATTATTCGTGGCTATAGAGTGGCTTTTTGGTTGAGCGCGTGGCTCTCTGTATTGCTATTTGCGGTCATTACTAAAGTTGGTATAATTAGAGAAGCAAGCGGTTGTCAACATTCATCTCTCGAGGGGTGTCTAACTCAGTGTTACAGTGTGTTTGACCCTAACTTAATTTTACGCCAGAATATCCCTTTAAGGCTGTAATCTTCAGTGGACCTAAATCTGATTGTTCATTTCCAAGTCATCAATGACTCATTTGAGCGTTAACTTCAAAGCTTCCTCAGTCGTGCCCACTGTTTCACCATCTTTCTTTTTCTTTGAGTCATTTTAGTTACGTGCTGTGCTATGGTGCATAGTGATGCAAGTCAGCTGATTTTGTTAGTTTCTGATAAATCTCGAATCCGGTCTTATATTCTTATTAGTATTTAGGACACAGGAGTGGGACCAAACATTTGAAACCACTTCCTGTTGACTCTGAGGACAAAGCAGCATGGATCACCATCATCATTTTAGGATTTATCATCATTGTTTCTGGGTTTAACTAAGCACAATCAAGTATTGAACACAGACCAGTTATAAGTCGAATAGCTGGTTAAAAGATCTTGGTTAGTGAGAAGTTGTCATATTTTGATGCAGGAGTATAGGTATAGATGAATAAATAATGAGGGTAGAGGATTTTCGTCAACTTAACTTCCATCCCTTTTTTCAAAGTAGGAAATAGAGGATTAGACTGTTTCAGGTCCTTGACTGTTTTGAACTCTTGAAAAGGTTCATTAAAATCATCTTTCATAAGTTTATCTGAGTTTTAAATCAAGGACAGAAAATCACAGCTTTAATACTGAGACAGGTGTGTTTGATCAGAGTGTGAGTGAGTTCATCTTTACCCGCAGCTCTGGTTTTAAGAAAGATTACAAAGAGACTCTGTGTGTGTGTGTGTGTGTGCGTGCGTGCGTGCGTGCGTGCGTGCGTGCGTGCGTGCGTGCGTGCGTGCGTGCGTGCGTGCGTGCGTGTGTGTGTTTCCACAGAGCTCTGGTGCACACTGCTGTGTTTGTAGGAGGTAATCTAAGGGGGTCTGGAGTAATCTACAGTAAGACTGACTGTCAGGACGTGTTTGTAGAAGCTCCTCTACTCTCCACTGAAGTCACTCTAGAGTGTTTGTTTTGTTTTAGTCAGAAACTCAAAAAACCTCATATTTCATTTTGTTTTGTAAAACTGTACTTTGATATTGGCATCGGCTCATCCTCCCTCCTTGTTTAACTCTACTGTGATTCTGCAGAGTGTAACCGTACACCCCTTTAACCTTTCAGGACTTAATTGATCAGCTCAACTGAAGACAAGACACAATTCTCTGTAGCTTAAATGATGTGAACACATGGGGTGAGTTTTATTGATGGTATGGTAAAAAGGTCTTAACAAGAGGAACAAAAAAGAAGAATATTACACCACAGATTATATGACTGGCAATTATGTATCTCTAAACATGTGGGGACGGTGAGAGAAATGGGCCATAGCCCTTTGCATTATGAAGCAAAATATTGACACAGTCTGACACATAAAAACACTCGAAATATGTCTGTGAACTAACCTGAATTAAAGGTGGACCATGTAAATAACTCGCCTGACCTCTTCCTCTATCTCTTCTTCCTTTACATGCTCTCCCTCTTCACACAAACACAAAGGTAAGTAGTTTTCCATGGCTGTTTGCAGACCTGTTATTAATGCGTTGCTGTTACTGGACAGTAAACCTTTCACCAACTGTCATAGCAGTCATGTGTGTGCACATGTAACACACCTTGGATGCCTTGTTAAAGGTTGACTCTTGTTCCTTTCACTAAATACTAATGTTTCTGTGTTTTTTAACACCTGTCATTGACATGCTGAATGTTTGTATTTGAGCTGAAGCTCAGATGGAAGGCTTCAGTCCAGCAAAAAGAAGATACCTGCTATTTATTCTTAGTAAATATTGGTGCTATGCTATTATTATTCTTTTGTTCTGCTGGGTGTTTGACTCAGGCAGCCAGAAAGGCCCTTATCTCTCCTGTTTCCCTGTTGAATGTCTCTGTGGTAGGCTGATTCTTGGCCCTTTTCTTCATACTCTATTCCTGCTCCAGGACTATTTGGAGTCCAGACCCCCTCAAGAGCAATGTGGGGGATTTCTGCCCCAAAGGATTTATTTTTGTAATATTTAATATGTCCGAGTGAAAAGGCATAAATGTTCTGCTACGGCTCAGAAAAGCAGCAAGAAGGAGCCACACCTAAACATCAGAACAGTCTTGAATGCATCAAAATATAATGCAGCTTTGCTTCCAGGTAAAAGTCTGACCTTTGAACTTGGAACTGCACAGCTGTTATGGCTGTATGGTTCCTATTTGGTCTTTTTCCCTCCTTTAGTCTTCCCCAGCTTTGACCAGGTGAAGTCACTGATTCAACTTCACCTGGTCCTGAGAGGTTGAAGCTCAAGAGCTGCCTGCAGTTGGGAGAGGCATTCGGAGGGGGGCTGCTGCACTGCTTTTGGAGGTCTTTTCTGTTACTTTTAATGGGTCAATGTGTGGATAGTTGGCACTCAGGCCAGCCAGAATCTGATGGAGGTCTTTAGATGCAAGACAGAACTGATCACCAACCACATTGTCTGAGTATGTTAGCGGGACTGTGAAAGTCCAAGAAAGTTGGTTTTGTGTAACTTCAGTCAGACCAATGAGTTTACATGTCCAGCTGTAGTCAAACTAATGCCCTGAATCAATCTGAACATGTAAAAAGAAATGAGTGAAAGCATCCTCATTTTATTGTACACACATCGGCTTTATGTGAAAGCCCACTCTACTCTATGAGCAAATAGAAAGACTAAAAAGACCTGTGAATGCATGTCTGATAGGCCTGTTGTATATATTCCTGTGACATTAAGCTGTATGTTTGCAGAAGGATATAAAGTTATAGTGTAAAGGACAAAGCAGCTTCGGCCTGATAGAGGAAACTGATAACTTTTCTGTTTTATGAAGTTTGTGCTTTCCTTTTTCTGTGTTGAAGTCAGGGTCAGTCAGCACATCACAGTGTGACAGTTTTTGGGGTTAGACTTAAATTTCAGTTTTAAGTCGCCAGCCCAGGAAAAAACCTGACAAACAACATTTCAGGTTTTTCTTACCTTAGTTAGTTAGTCTTGAATAAGTTAGCCGCTGTCTTTAAAAGAAAAGAAAAAAACAAACAAAACATACACACATAGAGGATGAAAACCCCGAAAACAACCTTAAACTTTAGTGGAAATAATTTCAAAGACATATTTTTGGGGGGGTCATATTTTGTGTAATTAATTCCTATAGATTGTCCACAACTCCATATGGATGGCTGGAGGAGGCAGGATTTATGACCTATACTGCAGCCCATCACCAGAGGGTGCTGTTCTCACGGTGGCTTCACCCAGCAAAGAGGCAGACCGCGTCCGTTCTATATACAGTCTATAAGTGAGACATTGTAACTGGCAGACTGTGTAGCTGCAGTCTGAAGTTCTCTAAAAATAGAGGAATAGATTAATTATTTGGATTTAACATTTAGATTCATATTTAGTATTTTGATTTATTATTTAGATTTAAATTTATTTTATGTAGGTTTTACCTAGAATTTCCTTATCTGCAACTAATAATTTCCCCATTAATCATATGAAAAATGATCTACATGTGCAGATAATGAGCTTAATGTGACAAATAAATGTGTTTAAATATTTACAATAAACTTTTTACAAACAGCACCTCATACACATCAGTGTGAACACACCAGCCTCTTCCTTAACACAACCCTCTGCCCAGCTGGGACTCTCTCCAGCACTTTTTCATCCTCCCGCTGAGTCTCACAAATACTGCCGCTCTGATGCTGAGAGAGACACACTGCTCCTATTTCCCTGCTCAGGCTGAATGGATGATCATTGCATTTTCCCAGCATGCCATGGGAGGACCTTTTCAACTGTGGGCTGAAATATGTGACTCCCAAAGTCATGGTGAAACTGCTTTTTTAAATTAGCTTCACTGCTAGCTGACATATTGACAAATGTGGAGGGAGAGGAGCTCTTTTCACTTACAAATGAACCTCCCAGAATAACGACTTTTTACCCAGCTGTGTGACTCTGTACCAAGAGTTAAGAAGTCAATCCAAATACAAAGTGCTTGGGGAGGGAACGAGGTAATCAAGTTTAACGTTGTTTCTGCACTTGGAGGGAAAGAGTTTGTTGTGTCAGTAAAGTCTGAATTCATCCAAACTCAGTACAGACAAGACTTTCTCTCACGGGCTAACACAGAGACGCTAATGCATGCTTTTATCTCCAGTCGTCTTGACTATTGTAACGCCCTGCTTTCTGGTCTTCCAAAAAGAAACATCTCAAGTCTACAACTGTTGCAAAACTCAGCAGCACGTGTGCTGACAAAGACCAGAAGGCGGGCACACATTACACCGGTTTTAAAATCACTGCATTGGCTCCCTGTGTGCTTTAGGATTGATTTTAAGGTCCTTTTAATGGTTTTTAAATGTCTTAGGGGTCTTGGACCTTCTTATCTTTCAGAATTGCTTTTACAATATGAACCCTGAAATCCTCTGGCACTGGCCTTTTAATAGTCCCCAAAGTGACAACACAAACTTTTGGTGAGGCATCTTTTCAGCACTATGGCCCCCGTCTTTGGAATAGCCTGCCGGAGGACCTTAGGGCCGCAGAGAATGTTCATATTTTTAAAAGCAGTCTCAAGACCCACCTATTTAATTTGGCTTTTAACTAATGTCTTATTTTTAATCTATATTTTTATCCTATTTTTATCTTATTTTATTTCATTTATATATTTTAGTCCTCATTTTACATGTAATGTTTGTTCTATTTATTCACTTATTTTTGAATGGTATTTTAGCTATTTATCAGTATTTTATAATTTTATCTAGTTTGATGTTTTTAGCTGATTTAGTTAATGTTTTCATTGCCTTTCTCCAGTGTTTCCTCAGTGGGGGCCACCTGCACTGGAGGCTGTGACTGGCTCTGTCCAGGGTTTCTCTGCCTCGTGGTGTGCGCTCAGCTCGGCCAGGTGGTGGTCTGCAGCAGTGCCTGCTGCTGTGGGCCCCTCACTGGCCTGTAGCGGGGTGCACACCCGGGTGGAGGTGTCCTGGCCCTGGGCTGTGAGCAGCCTCCAGCGCAGTCGGCCTCCTGACGTTTCCTGACTCCTCCTCCACATGCTTTTAAGATTGCATTATCTGTGTGTGTGTGTGTGTGTGTGTGTGAGTTGGGGTGGGCTCTCAGTGAGGGTTGGGTTGCGGGCTGGATATGGGGGGGCTCATTGTTTTAAATTGTAAAGCACTTTGTGCTGCATTTCTTTTTGCCTGAAAAGTGCTATATAAATAAAGTTTGATTTTTTGATTGACAAGAGACCTTCAGAGGAGAATGAAGAAATGTTTCAGATGATCCAGTTCAGGTACAAAACTGTTTTTTTTTTTTGATAGTTATAATAAAAAGAGTTTCTTTATCATTGACTCATCCTTGGGAAATTTGAGAAATACTGTTTTGCAATGGCAATATGCTGCGTTGTAGGTGGGTCATACATCTCCCAGTGACAAGCTTCTCATGCAACCACTTCAAAAACCCATACTATCTCTTTAAACAGACCTTATTCAACTCTGCTGTATTTCTATCATAGCGACATGTATTGAATTATCTGTGGGCAGTGAGACCTACAGAGGTGTCCTCAGTGTGATCTAGTTTCTCTTTTCTCCTGTAGGAAACTTAAAGAAGTGAGTGAAACCATGTTTGACTCTTGCAAAGGTCAGCAGAATTACAAAGGCTATTATATGATAATTTTTGTCCTGGCTCATTTTACCTTTGAATGCTCTACTCTAGGTCCATAGCAACATCCCTCAAACTCTCTAGAGACGTGACATAGCTAAGAATCCATTCAGTGTGCCTTGTTATCACTGCCAGATTGTTGGGTTGTCACAGACAAGCTGCAGCCTCCTCAGCTGAAAAATGAAGCCAACGCTGAAGCATCTGTGCATGTGTCTGCACTCACCATATCAAACACAGATATATCAATGGAAGTTATCAACAGTGATAACAGAAAGCAGCTGACTGTAGTGATGAGTGGACAAGTTCAGGCATTAGTTTACCAAAGTCATGTTCCCCAGATCCCTGAGTCAAGCCTTGGTACAGGGGCCTTAAAACATGGTTCTCACAGGCTGTGATTCACTTCTTCGTTATCACACTTGGGTAAAGCTTTGATAGCCAGCTCCTCTCGTCTCCTTAGGTCCACCTGTCTCTCAGGTAATGACTCTGCTGCCACACAAATCAACACGTTGTCTCCTTCAGTTTTTGACCTTCTCTTTTCTCCAACACTAACTCTCTTTGATGAACTTCTTAAATCCACACTTCCAGTTTCTTTCTCCTTCACCAAGATTACACCGTGAAGTATTGATTTTTAAATATGGATCAGAGGCAGTGAGCAGGAGGCTCTGGGGGGTCTGATGGGATGCAGCAGGTTGCCTGAAGCCTCTGTTCTGTGCCTGGCCTTGTCGAATTGATTGATGAGAAAGTGGAGCTCGTGTTGTTTCCATCAGGCTGGGATTCATCCTCCTGGCTGTACTGATATTCTTATCCAGGTTTCAAATGTCAGACGTGGAGGGAGAAAGGAAGGAAGGAGTTTCCATCAGACTGTGAGGGTGTTTAGAAGGACATGAGGTTGAATGAGATCAGACACCTGCTGATAGACCTGCTCCAGTGTCACGTGAACACACACTCCCTGCTGAAACCCACAGCCAATGAAAGAGCAGAGCAGCTGAGAGATTTAGAGCCTGAGGGACAGATGGAGAAGCTCATGTCGGTCGTTGATGATGTTTTCTGTCTCTCTGTCAGCAGCAGAGTCTAAAGAAACAGCATCGCTGTCTGAATGGAAGACACCAACAATGAAGAACAAACAGAGAGAGCAGGAGGGCTCTTGTTCACACCAATGATGTTCCCCCCAGAGGCTTTAGAGGACTACAGGTCCCCTTCAGGGTCATTTCTCTGCTCCAGTTCACTGACTAAGCCTGAGTTCTCTCAGTATCACGGTCTGAATCCTAAAACACTGGAAACCTTTTTCTGATGTGCGTGCGTGCATGCATGTGTGTGTGTGCCGTTGACCAATGCAGCATGTGATCTGTGGACACATCAGGAATTCACTGCAGTGAATTTAGAGGATCAGTCTGTGCTGGGAATAAAGTGAGCTTCTTCAATTTACCTAAAGTCTGACCTCTCAGAGTCCAGAGCACAGAGACAAACACTGAACCTGACTCTTAACACAGAAGCAGAAGCAGATTTTCCTCTAGGGAAATGAGATCAATCTCTGTTTGTTGTTGTTCATTTAGTAAGTGATTTGTGTTTTCTGCAGTGACTGACTGCAAAACATTGAAACAGTGAAAACAGACTGTCAGGAAGTTTGGGCTGTCAGGGAAACCCTGAACTATCAGCTTTATTTGAAATGACATGTTTTATCTACTGGCCCATGTCTGTGCAGGTAGTATAAGGTGACCAAATGTCCTTTCTCCTACGTTCTGTCAGGGCAGTCCTGGTTGTTCTCTATAAAGTGATGGAGTTGTCCTGGTTTTCATTGCTTTTTATCGGGCCACTAGGATGGAGAAGAAAACTAAAGATAGAGAGTATCTCATTGCCAGGACAAGTCCTGGTTTTTGTCTTGGTTTTCTTTACTCAAAATATGGTTACCCCAAGGTAGTCGACACGTTTGTTTCATCACCAGTGAAGTGTAAGGAACTTCAATTAAGCTCTTGGGCTGATTTGCTCCTGGCCACTGGCACCACAATAGACTCCTTGAGCAGTAATGATGCCTGAAACTGAACAAGAAATGAACAACAAATATCAGTAAAATCACCACACAGTAGGACAGACTTTAAGGGGATTACTTATCTGGCCCCCAGCTGTTTCTGGTGCAATATTAGAGGAGCACAGATCTGACAGCAGAGGCACTGATGATAATAAACAGTGACTCTCCACATACTAAGCAAAGTGCTGTGTAAATTTGAAAATTCAAATTCATCATTAAAACATAAAGGACAAAAACATAATCAACAAGCTTGGACTTCGTTAATGTAAACAGACCCATTGCACCTCATTTCTGTGATATTTAACCTTTATTTTGTGCTTAAGTCATAGTTTGGCCCTCTTCATTTCATATATCTTCATATCTGCCAGATTATGGAGTCATTGGTGGAAGCTCGACCACCAAAACTCTCTGTCTTCCTCCTCTCTTTCCCCCTCTCTCATTCTTCCGCAGTCTCTACCAGACAGACTATTTCTTTGTTAGAAACACAGCAGCAGACCCAGCAGTTCCTCTACGCTTTTTCCAGGTGAGATATCACTTATTCCTGCCTTTTCTGTCTGTTTTTGTTTTGGTAAAATAACATTTGAATGTGGAGGAACTTTAAAAAATGGAAATAGCTTCAGGTAGAGACAGGGAGATTTCATAAAAACTGCATTAAAGAATCTTCACAGCAGGACAAAGAGGACCACATGCCAGTATTTTCCACTGAACAAACAGAAATCAGCTTCACAAAGTCTGTGAGGATGAAGGAGTGAACTGTCAGACGTGCAGATTGGTGAACACAGTCCTCATCAGGCTGGATGCTGAAGGTCTGTCCTTGTTCTAGCTGAAGAAACCAGATCGATATCACCAATTATCAGAACATGTGGAGGTAACAGCTCCAACAACAATCCCTGAGTTTCTCAGTTTCAGCAGCAGCAGCAGCTCAGACTCACTCAGGAGAAAGTGCAGGTGTTGACACTGCAGTTTCTCTTTTTCCCATCCATGACTATTGCCTCATGAATAGATATGCTGGCCAGGCTCCTGTTCATGGATTTTGCTTTGGTCTTGGCGAGAAAACATCCACATTATCATTAAGGTTTCAGTTAACATGTTTTAAAGAGGAAATTAATGATTATTGTCTGTGTACATGATTAAACCTGAGGACACAAACTGAAAGAGACTTCATTTTTGCACAGCAAGGTACTTCTCATGGTGACAAACAGCACATTTATCATCATTTCACTCTGCATGTACACAAATATCACCTGCCAAAATCAACATCTAATCAGCCATTAACAAATATCTCATCACAGAGCATACATCCAGGAAGGTAATGAATCAGAGATCAAAGGTCAAAGTCCTTTTAGTGTCTTAATACTCAGAGAAACTCCAACATTATTGATTTCCCACAGCACAGCATGACTCTGTGAGGTATAATGAGATTTTCCCCTCAGAGGACGACTTTGTTACCACAGTATGATCTCCTCCTTCACCTTTAAACAAATTAAAGGTAGTAAATAAAGCCCACAGGTGGTTAACAAAGTTAAAGGCCAGTTTAATTAGTTTTTGTTCATCACATATATCCCTGCATACAGTTAAACTGGGGATGCTTTTCTCAGTTAAAAAAAGGGTTTCTTTGCATATTTCAAACTCAACTTCTCTGACTCAAGACTTAGAGCACAGAAGAAGGCAGTTTGCAAAGATGTTCAATTATCGGACTATCATTATCATTTGTCAGGTTTAACTTAGCTAATTGCTTAGTAGGAAAAAAGAAAAAAAGCATTATGTCTGAGATGTTCTGGTGCTCACTCACATAAATGTGAAGGGAGCAGGGAATCAGCCTGCAGGCCTGGAGATTTGAAAGAGCTGCACATCTGTGTCTCATTAGCTACCTATAAAACTAAAGAAAAGAATAAAAAAAAGAATAAAGAATAATAAGCCCAATCCCCCCCTCCCCCCTATCATAAAGAATGTGCAGACCTGTGACAGCAATCATTGATTTTCTATCCTGATAACCAAACACCCATTTAAATGTGGATCAACATCAGTTTTAAACCAGAAACATAGTAACCACCAATACTTATATTGTCTTTATCACTGTTTGATGATTAGTCTGTGTTTCATTTATGGCAATTTGTATCTGTTTGACCTTTCCCTAATCATCGTACATGTGTAATCTGTCTATGTCCTAGTTATTTAGTTGTCTGCACCTTATGCTTTCTCTGCCCTGACGGGAGTGGAACTTTGTATAAGCCTATCAGCTTTGTTCCCTCCTTGCACTGTTTGAATCTGTGCTAAATAAATAAATACAAATACAAATACAGTGAGGAAGAGCTGAGGTCTCCTTTTAGTTTATGAGGTGACAGAGCCCTCCTGTTCAATGGTCTAGATTTCTCAGTATGTGTTAAGTGTTTGTTTTTAAAGACTTTATGAACTGCCCAGTTTTTTGCTGGGAAAAAGAGAATAGTCCAGTTAAATGGCCTGATGGAGCATATGCTCACAGTTAACATGCGTATAAAGGTACTGACTGAGGTTAGTTATGAACAAAAATGAATTTTATATTTGTGTATGTGCTTGTGTAGTCAATCTATAAAAACTCCTTAAAGATTAGAAGCAGTTAAAGCCTGAATTAAAGTAACTCATATTAGCTGATAGTGGATTCATGATGTCAGCACATGAATTCACTAGAAACTTGTTACACAAGAAATGTCAATAATTTCCTACATGTTTCCACTTTAATTTGGATAACTATGACCTGCAGCACAAATAATGTAGAAAAACTTATCTCAATATGTTGAATGATTTCAATTGAGTTTGATTAAATTACTGTTAGAATAAATACCTGTATCTCCTAGTCTAGTTCATAACATGCAGTAAAGACGACCAACAGCAGCCTTCACATGGAGGATGAACTATAGAAGGTCAGTGCTTCAGCAGAGTGCTGCACTGAAGCATACTGATGTCTAAATACAGCAGAGATGACAGCAGAGCCTGTTGAAGTCTCTTGAAAAGCTCTTGAAAGGCTTTTTTTTGGGTGGGGAGGGGGGTTGTTTTGGGTTCCGGAGGGAGACCTTAAGACAGGACAGAGGTACAGATCTGCAATACTGTTTAAGAGGAAATTTAGCTGAGCACAACAGCCTGTGGACACAAATTTTCTCCATCTTCCATACGTAGTCAACGACTAGCTCACAAAACAGAAGTTAAAACGATAAGGTCCAAATAAAGTGGAGTCAGGTTTCAATAAAGGGAGGCTTATATCACTGATAAAAAATAAATGGAGACAGATTTCTGCTGGAGGCTGAGCTGTTTTTGAAATCATCAGAGCAGCTCTGTCCACAGCCTAGCAGAGCCTCCACATTACCAAACACCCCTCCTGTTTCCTCTTTAGTTAGGTTCAGAAGGGGTGTGGGATTCTGCTCATGTGCTACAGGAAAAAAAAAAAAAACAGCAATGTGACATCCTATCATGGGCACATATAGAGCCCAGTGGAGGATTTCTAACCTCTGTAAAACCCTGGTTCCTGTCTCTACCCCCTCCCCTCTTTATCTCAAGCAGTTTTGAGTGGCACTATGCAAACTGCTCTGTGTCCCCTCGTTATTCACTACTGACCTGAGAATCATGAGAGGTCCCGGTCCCTGTAAGATAGTTCCAAGAGTCTCAGTTTCAGTCAATGATCTTAAGGCCACACCAGAGCACACTTATCTCACAATCAACAGCCTGTAAGAAAGGAGCAATGCTGCCTGGAGCCATTTGCATGAGATAAAAGAACAGAGAAGAAATTTAATTTGAAAGCCGTTCTTGTATATATTGACTTTTCTACAGCAGAAAAATCTTCAGCTAATGTTTTCAGAGTGTCAGAGAACTTTCACAGCTTCAGGGATTTGCATTAGAGAGCGAGTGCTGCAGAATTAGTCTTAATCTGCAGGGTAGATAACACTCTCTGCATGTGTTCAGCCACTCACACACTAACACTGAGCGGAGTGTGATCACACCTCTCAGGATGTCAGGTTTGGTTCTTTAGGATGATTAAACCCTCACTGTTTGACACGGCAGCTACAAAGTACATCCTGAATGTCAGCTGCTGCAATTTATCTGGAAAAAATGTTGCAAAACCTGTGACCTCTAAATCCATATCAACAGACAGCATACAGTTTGACTTCTTAATATTAGATATGCTGGTTTTAATGGCAGTTACCCATTTATTTGGAAGAGTGACACACTGCAGGATGTCTGAATGACGGCTCTGCTTCTGCTTCTGCTGTTGGTCCTGACTCTTTATGCCTTCTTTTTGCTTTCGTTAAAGGCTGTAAACACAAGGAAACAAATAATAAGGAGCATGTTTTATCATGTCTTAATCATGGCTTCAATCTCTATCAAGCTTTAACAGGAACAGAGACTAATACAGACAGTTTGCATTTGGTGAGAAACAAACATTATTTCATATTGTTTGTTATATTGTTTGACATATTGCGCCAAAAAGGCACTAAGACTGCTAAAAAACACTATGCACTGAACCTTTTGAGTGTCTATTCATTTTGGGAACCACATGTGGCCATAGACTGTATATGGAATGGGCGACGTCTGCCTCCTTGCTGGGTGAAGCCACCGTGAGAACAGCACCCTCTGGTGATGGGCTGCAGTACAGGTCATAAATCCAGCCTCCTCCATCCATCCCCATGGAGCTGTAGACAAACTTTAGAAATGTATTACAAAGAATATAATTTTTTCTTCCCCCTGGTTGTGATGTTGATATGTAGTTATTGTAAGACTGGTTTGTGCCCAAGTCCTCTTTTTTTCTGTACAGCGCCATTTTTAAAAGTTATTAGGGGCTTCGTGTTTTCTATGATTGACACTTGATACAGCCAATGGGTGTAAGAAGATTGCTCAACCAGGAGATACGCTGTTTGAGCCAAGCGTCATCACAAGGACCCTCGGTGACTCTCCTGCCGAGTGCGTACACTGCTACTGTGCAAGTGGTGGTTCCAGGAGGTGAAGTCAGTATAAGTGAGTGGTGTTTCAATCAAAGGTTGCCACAGCAATGGTCGCAGGCTCTCGGGGATATAATTTGATTGGATTAGATTAGATTAGATCAGATACAACCTTATTTGTACTTTTGGGAAGGTTCCCCTTAATGAAATAAAAAGTAAGTTATGGGCTCAACTTTGAAAATCAACCTCTGGAAATAGCTCACACTTAAATTATAAACCCTGGTCTCCAGGCTTTTTCAGCTTGGTAGTGAAAATTACATTCAGTATATTTCCTAATACTGGTATTTAAGTCTTAATACGTATACAATGCAGAACCCATGTTTTACATAGTTTAAATGCAGAGGTCATACATAGAGTCTTATAAGAAACACTGTTGAGTGGGGTCAGGCCGGCCTCATCTCTCAGCTTTCTTTAGACTTGAACTCCAATATACTGTAGCAGATAGAGCCCTCTCTGTTTCCACCTCAGGAACTGAATTATCATTCCTAAAGAGATTTTAAATACAAAGACGGGAATCTCTGCCAACTAAGAAGATGAAGTAGGTCAGAACCAGGTCTCTCTGAAATAGCCCATCACATACTGTAGCATACCCAGTTGATTTATGATCTGACTCTGCAACTGATGGTTCACAAAGTTTTATTTACAGCAGTTCCTTTTGACATCCATGAATAGTGTGAACACACCGTAGGAGCTAAAGAAAATAATAAGAGCCGTATTAATACACTTTCTGTCATAAGAAAATACTTTTAGCCCTTTAAATTATGTGTTCAATAACCTTTTCAAATTATATATTCTTTAAACCGTCAAGAATGATGAACTTAACTTCCTTGTTTTTAGCAAAATGACAACCTCAAATCAGAGTGCTTTAACTAGTTAGGATTAGCTTAAACTAACACATGAATTCACCTCCTTTAATAACCAAATAACATGAAAGAAATTTTTAGACATCATTTCAATGCAGGCATAGAGCTTTACCATGAATAAAATGGAACTACATGAATCACGTCTGTATTAACCATGACCATCATCATCACTATAGCATATTTGCTAATACTCTGCAACACGTAACTCGACCAAACTTCTCAAAAATGTTATATAGGTACTTCATATTAATTTGTCTGAGAAAAGAAGCATATACTAACCTTGTGCTTCTATCAAACCAGGAACTTTAGCAACTTAAAGAGCTTGTTATCAGCGATGGTGTGTCCTCAATTCACACGTTGTTGCTGTTCATTGACTGATAACTTCCGATACATTTTCTTTCAAAGTAAAGGCATTGGCCTCTGTTATATCGCTTACAGGAAGTAAAATAATAGGAAAAAAAGGATTACACTTTCAAAATAAGGCTGACGATATTAACACATAATGTGGGTCATTCACACATACTGTTTCAGTTCTTATTCTGAAAGAGAGGCTGAGCTGTGTTTGTTGGATCACTGTAGAGAAACCAGGCAGCAGAATTTTCAAATCTGGAAATGTGGGGGTATTCAGGGTACACCAAGATGATTGAAGTAACTGCAGTTCAGCTTTACATGAAATGGAGTGAGGGATGGTCTCCACTCCAGCCACAGGACTTGGAGTCGTATCTGTAGTCTCTGTACATGGTTGCTGTACTTACTTACTTGTCAAAGCAGCACAGATGAGATATGATTTAAAAATAATTATTCCATTTTTTACTTTTACTGCTGACATTGCACACCCTGACATTAAAACTGGAAAGCGTTCTGAAATGGGGCCACAACACAACTCCCATCTCAGGCTCTTGCTGTGGAAATAACAGCTATTGGTTAGACATAAAAAAAAAAAATCTTAACAACAACAGTGCGACAATAACACATGTAGATTATTACCCAGAGTGTAAATAAAACACCACGAGGAGCAGGTTGGCTGTTAATTTGTTCAATTTACAGTCCAATTAGTTTTCCAAATGTAAAACAAGCCAGTCTGGAGGTCTCATCGCCACAAAAAAAAAAAAAAAACAGACCAAAACTGAGCACTGTGATGCTGATCCAACATGTTTGAGAGACTAAACAGTATTTGACCATGAAGACAGGGTCCAGTTTTTAGACCTTCTACATGAAGGTGTCTCTGTCTCAGATTCATCCTTATTTTCAGTCTGAGACGGTCAGAGGAAATCTAACACCACACCACACAACTACCACAGCTACATAGCTGACTGATGAACTCATCTTAACAGCACAATGTTCACATGCCTCCTCCTGCTCCATCATGAAGGTGAAAATCAGGTCTCCTCACCAGAATTTCATCATCAGCAGAAGTATTTGCTGTGAGCTGTTTGTCTGCTTTTTGTTTGTTTTTCTGGGAGCCTGAAATTCAAAACCTTCCTGCTCGGATGATCCAGATCCAGAGAGTCCTGACTGACTGACAGCTGAGGATGAGGAGGGAACATCCTCAGTCTCAGAGAAAAGAGATTTTGATGAGCTTTAAACCTCAACACATAGAGCTGTGAGTGAAAACACCTCCAAATGTGAGTTTCTCTGTGAGCAGCTAATGAGTGATCTCCATGTCTTAGTGTTATACACTAACAGAAAACAAACTCATATATAAATATTTGTCCTATCTTGAACTGAATATTTGGCTTATCTTTGACTTTTAGATGAATATAGGCGATTCAATTAGAAAATACAGATTCCCTGTGTCACCTCAGAGATCTGACTTTGGAAGCTCTGATAACTTTTTAATGTTGAGATGGAGGTCTGAGGCTCTCCTGTTGGATTAAAAATTCAGAGCTACAGCTGATGCAAATAAGCCTTTGGTCACAAGATTTCTAAGTTTATCTTAGCCACTTTTTGATTGTGCTTTCTGTGCCTCTTTTCTTTAGTTGAAGATCATTACATGTCCTGACTATAGAAGAACAAGATCAAGAAAAATAAAATAGATAGAGATGGTATTTATGAGCAAAAAGCTCCCTAAACTTCCTGAACCACCTGTAAAATTTCCAACTTTTTCACACCTGCCCCCTAATTACATGGAAAAAAGAGGGAAAACTGAGGCTCTAAGAAAGTGTCTGTCACAAGTTAGTAAGTACAATTTTATTCATAAAGCAACTTCTAAAGTTTTTTTACCAACAGAAGAAACAAACACAAAAGAAAGAGGGGAGTATGAATATTAGTACAATACAAACAATAAAAATGTGTGTATCAGTCATTTTCGTGTTTTTTAAGATCAAACCAGAACACAGAAACACTGAGAGAAAACTCTAAGGTCACTAACTGTGATTTTAAGCTCTCCACAGAGTTCTGACGTCAGAGTCTGGGAGCCAGAACAGCAAATGGAGCAGGGACAGCCAGCAGACCTGGTTCAGAGGACCCAAGGGTCTGAGCAGTGGATTACGGTGTCTTTAGTTCACTAACATATTCAGGGGCTAAACCATTCAAAGCTTTGGACACAAAGAGGAGGATCTTGAACTGAATCCTGAATTTCATGGGGAGTCTATGAGCAGTGGATATTGTTCTGTCTTGGTTGATGTTTGTGGGGACAATGCATTTAAAGTTAACGGTTCAGAGGATTGTTGTGTGTGAGTGTGTCTCTGTGTGTTTCAGCCTGCAGTCAGAGTGCACTCAGGGTTAAGCTCAGTGATGGTTTTGGTCTGGATGATATCTGGTCCATATAGATGAAACAAGTGTGCAAGGAGATAGATGAGGGTATCCTGTCTTCTAGCAGACTGTTAAGTGTGTATGAAGAGGTGGATAAATACTTGAAAATCCTTTTGAAAAACTAAGACTGATGGATTGGGCTCTCAGAGTTTGATGAACCTCCTTTCTTAAAGACCTACTCTCCTGAAAATCATGTTCTCTTGTTGTCTACATGTTGATATGGCACTGCAGGAGGGTGCATTGCTATTTACACATTAAATCTCAGCCTTCTTACCGGAACAGACCTGACTGGAGCCAGCAGTCAGAGAAACACAGAGAGGACACACAGATCAGTGTATGAGTTTTTGATCGGGGACTCAGGACACAATGACATTATTTAGTCATATCTAGGGGCCGCACAGGGCTGAGGTGAAGAGGAGATAACTGCGACTGTTTCCTTCAGCTGTAAATTCAGAGCAGTTTTAAAATGTACAGAAACACTTGCATCCCAAAGTCCTGTGACCCAGTAAAAAACTCAGTTAAACTGTGTCAGCAAAAACAGGTGTCATCATGGATGCAAGTGTGGCTGTGTGTGTCTGTTCAAAAAGGCAAAAGAAAGCGCCTTGTCAACTCTCGTACTCTTCATGCTGCCTCACTGATATGCCCTCTAAATATTACCGAAATGTAACACCACTGACTTCAGATGTACCACCAGGTTTTTGTTGATCAGAGGCCCGGATGCTTTCTGCTTCCTCAAGATAGCAATGCAGCACCCTAGCCAAGACCAACACACCCTCAGGCACTAACGTGGGCACAAGTTCACTTGCTCTTTACACAACATGTAAATGGGTGTCAGAATGTGGAGTGTGTGGGGTGGAAAGTAACAGACACTTGAGCTGCGAGCCAAAACACTTTGCACTGGATGTACTATAGAGCCCTCAAAGCTCAGCATCAGTTTGAGTTAAGCCCCGACTTGACTGCTGCTGCCAAGGGACTTCTTTGTCCAAATACCCTCTGAAAGATAGCTCTGAGTGATGACCAGGACAGGGAAGACTCTAGAGTGCTCTAACTCCTCCTTGAAAGTCTCTCCATCTCTCATATTGTTCCTGCCTTTTGTAGTTTATTGGTCCTGATGTCATAAAATCCTTTAATTGCAAGAAATGATCTTCAAACTGGTGATTTTTAAATCATTTGGTTCATTAAAATCAGCGATTAAAACCCCTCAGACATCAACAGTCTACACTTAAGCTTTTCATCACCTCTTCTGCATGCATTCAAGTGTTTAAAGAGGAACTAAATCCTGAGACCACTGTTCTAGCCATTGAGTCATCGCCAATAGCGTAAAAAAACAAAGCTTAACATGCTAATTAGAGATAGATAGATAGATAGATAGATAGATAGAGAGAGAGAGAGAGAGAGAGAGACAGAGAGAGAGAGAGAGAGAGAGAGAGAGAGAGAGATATCAATATGTTTGCACATATTTTGTGCCATAGGTATGTGTGTGTGAAAGAGAGAGACAAAGTGTGTGTAAGCATGCATCCTTAACTCCTTAACCCTGCTGCACTGATGAAAAGCCCTCTGTGATCACCAGTGTCTCTGTGTCATGGGTTCCTCCACATTCAGGAAAAAGCTCCTCTTTAAGGCCTCTCTCTCCTCAAATGGACCAACCGTGCTGCTGCAGTGTGGAGGAGAGAAATGACATTTAAGGACAAAGTCCTGGAGACAGAGCTCCTGCTGTGAAGACTTGTGTAGAAACGGTCAGGAAACTGGGTCAGAGGGAACCTACAATCCTATTGCTTCTATGAAAGAGAAAATGATTACAGGGGACTGGATGGAAATTAAACAGAAAATCCTTTTCTATTTTCATTAAAGACCAGAACAGCACGAGTGTGACAGAGTTTATAAAGTTCAACAAGGAACAAGTACAAGAGGATTTCACTTAGGTTTCATATGAAAGGGCATTTTCTGTCTTCAATTCCTAAAATCAAGTTTGTGTAAATGTCACTAAGGATGTTGACAGAACAAAATACTTTTTAAGCGTATCAGAATCTGTTCGATGTGTGCTTTACCCTGAGCTTCCACATCCACAGTGTAGTAGCCTGACCTTGATAATACACAGAAGTTCATGTTTCAAAAGAGAGGCCAGGCAAACATTTAGAGCAGAGAGAATCTGCTGTGGACAGGCACCATATGAATATTGATTGGTGTTTATCTGGGTGTCAAAGGCTCTAATTGTACAGGATTAGTTTTATATAGGGACCACCAGTGAATCGTGAATTACCTCACGACATCAGAGTTAAGTATGGTGCATTAGCACAGGATCAGCAAAGTCTGTATTTCTTTCAACTTGGCTGGTTGGAGGTCCCCTGTTGTCTCCGCAGATGAGAGCAGGTTCACACTGAGCTCATGTAACAGACCTAAGAGAGTCTGGAGATGTGAGGAGAACTTCTGCTGCTGAAACATCCTCCAGCAGGACCAGTTTGGTTGTGAGTCAGTGATTACCTGGGGGGGGGCATATCCTTGGAGGGTCTCATGGACCTTCACAGAGGTACCCTGACTGCTTTTAGGTCTTCAGACCCACTGTCAAACCGTGGGGTCCCTCTGGTGCATGACAATGCCTAACCTCATGTGGCTGGAGTGTGTCAGCAGTACC